TAATAACTAAACTAACTACTACTCTCTCTCTCTCTCTCTCTCTCTCTCTCTCTCTCTCTCTCTCTCTCTCTCTCTCTCTCTCTCTCTTTCTCTCTCTGCGCGCGCGCACGCGCGTGTGTGTGTGTATGTGTGTTTGAGTGGGTGGGTATGTGTGTTATGTATATATATCACATCTAATTAACATGTTTTATTTTTTAGAATATTGAAGAGAAAGAATGATCTCTTTCTTTTTGGCATAAGGAGTGAGAAGAAAGCAAGAAAATGTCATTTAGGGAAATATATCAATATGAAAAGTAAGCCCAATTGAATTAAATTGCAAATTTAAATATTCAAATTCAGCAGATAAGTTTTCGATATTAGGAGAAGATTTTGTAGTGATAATTTCAAAGTAACACAAATAATATGCAATATTTAAAGAAATAAATCATTTAAAAACTATTAAAAAACACAATAGCATATAAGAAACTCTTCTTTATTCTAGATGCTCCATGAGAAACGAGAGGCAGTCAGCGTGAAAATTCTTCGTGAGGATATATCGCCGTATAGGAGGACAGCGATAAAACATGAAGCAAGATAACATTTCAGGTAAGTGCGTAGTAGATAGAAAATAAGTGTAAGAAGCGATAAGACAGGATTTGATAAATCCAGAAACACTTTTTGAACTGCCAACGGCAATTTCCAGAAAAAATACCTTTTAAAAAATAAATGAGTAATTTAAATTCGTACATCTTGAATGAATGAATCTGAATGATATTGAAAAGAAATTCATGGCTGGATAAAAGCAACAGAGATGAATCTCTGTTCGGGGAGAAGAAAAAACAAACATTGAGAATAACGGTTCCGAGGGCGTGAGGACACGCGCCCCCGCATACGCGTGAAGTATGCCGCGAGAGGGAGTACGTACGCGCGGATTACTACGCGCGGGTACGCGCAGGGCGTAATAGAGGGGGACAAATTAGGGGAGGGAAGACGCGCGCTGTCAGTACAACGCGAGCTACGAAGGAGTGCGGGTCGCGGCGCGTCGCGATTCATCTTCGCGTTTCGCGTCATTGGGCGTAATCGCGCGCCCATCGTCGTCGTCGTCATCGTTGACGGCGGTTTCAATCCCTCCTCTCCCCGCGCAGTGGCGCGTAAAGTCTCGTTGAACGACAATCGTGGGTGATAACGTCAGCGGGCGCGCTTTTCACGGCGCCGCCGTGCGTTCAACCCGGACCGGAATCCGCGATGTGAGCCTCGAGGCCCACGGCGATAGTCGTGCGACGCGGGAAAGAAGAACGGATGCGCGTGTCGACGTGCCGGGGTGCTGACGCGGGATGAGCGCGAGAGAAGTCATCCTCTTCGGTGGGTCCCCCTGGGGCTTCCGCATGCACGGCGGATGCGACACGCATCAACCCCTGCGCATCTCCAGGGTGAGTAAACGTAGCGACATTTTTTTCTCGCGGTCACGTGATCGCGCGATTGAGACGATTGCGTCTTTTTAAAACTATTATTTATAGGTTAAGAAAGATAGCTAATCTAGTAAACACCAATCAAAACATCAATATTATATAATTTTCCATTCAACATTACTGTAGTATAAAATGTCTTGTACGTAAAGTATTATATTGTTGAGTGAGAAATTATAACATTGATATTATATTACTGTTGGTTAATGTTGCAGGGATTTTATTAATTTGATGAAAAACGAAATATACATATAGTGCTATATATATATATTAAATTTTACACTGCATATGTATTCAAGCTGCATTATTCTAACGAATTATTATAAACCTAATCGCTCTATGCATAATACACTAATTGTTATTACTAATAACAATAAATTATTTGAATAGCGCATCAGTCATACAATTGACGTGCAATACAATGCGCACAAAGTGAAATAGTACATATAATCATAATTACATTTTGAATGTGAATATTTTATGACGATATTGCAGTAATTATTCATTAACGAATATCATATTACATATGTATAACTCAAGCCGATGAAATTCTCGTTACGGTTACATTAACATGTCAGCAAACAATCAAATTCGTCAAATTTATCGGATTTCTAGAAGTTTACCGCGCTTCTCGTGAAAGCGCCATGTATGTACAATTAAAAAATAGTGGAAAACAACTTTTCCTTGCCATTATCCAATTTAGCTACGCCTTGAAGTTACCGTTTATCGTAAGTGGTGAAACGAGATAATCGTGTAAGTGGAAAAAGTCGCATTGATCCGCCCGTGGCATGCCGCACACTTTTATCACTGAACGCGCCACCGTAATTTTCTTCGCAACTACTGCATTTCTGTGTCTTCCCCTGTCAACTCTGTTCTATAGACGGTCTTTTTACGTTATGAGAGTAGAAAAATTGTACGACTTTTCATAGGAAAAACTTGCATTGATTTTCAATAGAAGATTACTTTCATTGTAAAAAAAATGAATAACCTTTTTCTCTTGTAAGATTCTTAATCTTTTCACAACGAAAATAATTATTACATTATATAAATCATAAAATATTTCAAGAGTCAATTAGAGATTTTATACATTTATAAATTGCTTCCTGTTTGTTCGATGCGAATTGAGATCAGATCGCGGCAGGTAATTTATTCAACGTGTATATAATTGACATGACGCGCATAATTCCGATTCTAAAATGTCACGTATCACTCGCGGTCGGCCGGAGCTACGATTTCAGATATTCGATAGTTACGTTTGTTGAGCCACGGCGAAGGTCGACAGCAAGAGCCTTGACGTGACTTTCTTGCCTAACGTTCTATGGTCGCCACGTGCCTCCGTAACGCTGGCGAATCTCATTTTATCCCAACATTCGGGCTAACGTGCTTGGCGTAAATTATGAAGATAACGCGAAATTAGCGATGTGGATGGATTTAAAGTCATCTTGTCTAAAAACGCGTCGATTCTGGCACGCGAGATTGTTTTGACTCGGTGCTAAATTTTCCGAGTTAAAATTGGAGCGCTTATTAAATGCCACTTCCGCAGATATTCATGATATTTAATTGGCATTTCTGATAATTGACACTTCATTGAAATTCGATGCGTATTTATTTAGATACCGTTTATTATGATACGTTGTTACTTGAACAAGATAGTTAATACTATTTTTTATTAATTAAATTTCCAATTTTCACGTATATCACGTTTGTGGAATCGCGTATTGCGAAATTCTAGTATCGGATTTTCAAAGATATTTTCCACGTGCAGTTTCCTCGTCACTAAAACGCGATACGCGACTTTTGTTACGTAACATAGGTGATGTTGTGACGCGGCAAATGATTCATAAACACTACAAACGCGCAAATTGCAACGCACGACGTGAAACAGAACTTTGTTTGAATTGCATATTATGCGCGTGACATGAATATAACATTTACGGTTCCGACGCGAAACATACGCTTCGTGTTGCGATGTGAAAACATTCTTTTCTCGCTGACGCCGGGTCAGAGGTCGCGTTGAAATTGCGGCAAATCGCTGTATTTTCAGTTCGGTGAAATGCAGCTTATCATCGTGCTTCGAGAGTTTCCACTATTTCCACTCCGATAACGACTATCTTACTGGCCATTAAGGTTTATTTTTGTGTCACATTCATAAATACAACCTCAGTTTGAATCGTGGAACTAGATTATTGGGATGATTTTGTATTTTTATATTGCTGCGTAGAATTTTTTACAAATGTATGTGATTGTTTACATAATTTTCAAACTGTTATTGAAAAATTGATTAAAATCAATTCTTGCTACTAAATGGTTCGAATAATTTTGTGTTTTTGCTACAAAACATTTATTTTATAAATATATATACAAAGATTGTTCGAATTAGAGGATAAACCGACGAGAAGATAAACAGATAAAAATTGACTTATTACGTATACGTTTATTATGTCGTAACGATTTCGTGCAATCTTACTAGCCATTGAAATTTATTCTTCGGTCACGTTCATAAATACAATCTTACTTTAAACCTTGGGATTAGATTATCGAGATAATTTTGCGCTTTTACATTGCTGTGTGCGTGTAGAGTTTTTTTTTTTATAAATCCATGTGATTATTTGAATAATTTTCAAACTGTTATTGAAGAACTGATTTATAAACACACACGTAAAAACGTATTAAATTGCTTGAATAATTTTGTGTTTTTAAAATATAGCAAGAAACTTATTTTGCAAATATAACGTTCGAATTAATAAACAGATAAAATTGATTTATTACGTATACTGTCGTAATGATTTCTTGCTATCTTAATTCACTGTTATCGAACGGATCGACAGTGATGCAAAATGAAGGCTCAGCTTTATTAATGTTATTCGACGAAGAGGCACAACGACGTTCTTTCACACAAGACCCATTTAAGCGCTTATCAGTGCCGTCTAGGCAGAAAATTATCCTCTCTCGAGCGAGCAGCACGTGTTCGGTATTAACATTTCGTACTGTTTTATATTACATCGGGTATACCGGGTGTCGCCGCCGGCGGATTGAGATGAGTCGACGTAAGAGTCGACCGATGGCGACTTGAAGTCTTTAAAAATGACGTCATACCGATGCGAGACGCATGAAAATTGGTGAACCGCGAGCGGACGAAAAACAAAAAACGGGACCGGTATCGCATGGCATTGACATCGCGTTTTCAAGGTCGCACGTAGGTAGAAACTGGTACGCATTTGTGACGCAATCGTGTGTGAACCTGTAACTCGAGAGCGTCTCGTGCGCGGCGACAATTAGCGCGCGCGGTTACGTCGGTTTGCGGCCGCGAAAGGCAAACGCGCGCGACGAAACCGGCTTCCATTAAAGTCGGGCATTACGGTGACATTTCTGTCAGGCCGTTGCCGCGGAAATCATCGGCGAGAGCTTTGTTCTTCTTTTTGCGCACGCTCTGGGATTGCTCCGACACTTCTCTATCCGTTTTTTTCTTTCTTTTTTTTCTTTTTACGCCAGCAGTTTCTTTAACCTTTATACGGGCGAGCTGTTCTTTCAATCAAAGAAAAATGCTGCGACTGCTGGAATAATTGTTCGAAAAGATCAAATGCGAGCGAGCGAGTGGAGAAGAATTTTTTCCAAATTTATTCGCCATCGAAAAATGAATTGTCGCTATAATAAGCGAGTATTAAAAGTGCCGAAGAATTCCGAATGTGCCATTTTTTCGGACCGCGCTTTGTTCGCGCCAGAATAGCTACGATGATAATGGGCAGTTTATGCTGATGAGCGCAAATGGATTAAAGGTTGCGTCCTGGTCTTCCGTCCTGCCGGCGGTCTTGATTAACACAGTGACCCTGTTAGCAACTACGAACCGAGTACTAATAGTTTTACAATGTAGACTCTAATTATCTTTCAAGAATGCGCTGCTATCTGCGCAATTTCAACATCGTTTTTATTTCACGTTTCATATAATAATTAAATGTAGAATTTTTAAAATATTGTCACACAGTTTTAATAAATGTATTACGCGACCCAAATTTAAATATTACATTATTTCCGCATTTCATAAATATTTATTAAGTACAGGATGTAACATTTAAATTTGACCGTACGACGCATTTGTCACACGATCGAGGATTAAAGAGCGGAATGCGAAAGGCCATTTTCGAGCCGTCGTGAAATTTACGACGAACGCGTCGTTAAATCTGCGCCATAAATGTTAATAAGACCGTCCGGCCAGGAGCGACACATTTCACGAGGACTAAAGTTCCACTTTAAGGCCGATCCCGGTCCCTACGGCCGTCCTGGGCGCCGTTCCAGAATCCTACTCTCACACCGATTGCGTTCCGAATACTGGACCGCGGTGATGTGTTTCGTTTTAATGCCCCGGAGGATATATTTCGTTCTCCCCAACTCCCCCCCCCTCCCCCCCGCTTCTTTGTCAGACCCCTTTTCCGTTCTGCTAAACTGAAACCGGTCACGTGCTATCGGCTTCGCGCTCGGAATTCTATCGGGCTGTCTTCGATCTTTTACCGAGAGAATTAGCTCAGTGACTTATGTACAATGTTGTAAAAAGTGGCTACAAGGTGTAAGGACGTTTGAATTTGTTGTATCACACGTGTTGTATTCACCTGCATTTTCGAGGCTTAAAGAGCGAAATGTGGACGGCGATTTCCGGGCCGCATCTTCTTATTTATCATTCTTTGAATCAGCACAAGGACGTCGGAAATTTAAGCTTTATTACCATTTGTGTCAATGTGTTCGATAACAGTAAATGAACAGTAATTTAAAATATCAAAATTATTACGGTAGTATACATAATAATTAAGTTTCATCTGCATGACTTGTTAATTTTATATCCGTATATTTTCATTTATAAAATTAATTTGAAAGGATTTAATTAACAAATCATCAATGATTCAAATTAGATGGTTATGAAAATTCGAAGAGCTGTTGTTTTTCTCACAGAATACAGTATTTTACATATTTAG